CGGTCGCGCGCGCGCCGCGCCGCCTCGCGGGCCCGCGCTTGCGCCTCGATCAGCTCCACCGTGAGCATCAACGAGCGTGATTGGGTGCGCTACGGTGCGCTGCGATGCCATTGGTGCGCAAGTGATTTTCGATCCGCCAATCACAAGACGCTATTGCTTTGCAACCAATCAACAACGTGCAGGATTCGGGACGAGGCCGAGGCGACCTGGCCAGAAAAGGACGAGGAGCTCGAGCGTCAGCCACGCAACGCTGCGGTGCGGAAGCAGCCCTCGCATCTGCCCGTGGTGCGTATAGCCCACATAGTACCACGACGACGCCTTGCGCAAGACGACCAAGTCACGCGGCGTCTTGGCCTCGAGGCCGCGCCAAAACACTCTCGCATAGTGCGCTTGCACAAACCGCACGGCCACTCGGATGCGCTCGACCGCGTCGTCGGCCAGGTCCAGTCGCTCGGCCCGTCTCGAGTGGCGCCAATGTCTAATGTGAGGAGCTACCGGTTCAGGGACGCGGGCAGCGTCTGCCGGTATATGTTTTCTTTCGCATCAACCACCCACGATGGGCCACGCAGCCTTTCGGATGACCAGTCGCTGCAACACATTGGCGATCTTCGAACCGCCTTCGGTGCCCACGACCTTGGCCACGTACGAGCACCGCTGTAGGCCCACGGCGGCACGGGCGTCCGTCGCGAGGCTGCAAGTTCGCCTTTTTAGCATGCAGGTTCTTCGCGGCGCCACCAGCGGGCCTCTGAGTCCTTAAGATGGTGCACAGATATCCTGCTGCGGTTGTGCTTTGGTACCGTTCTAGTATCGCGAGGATGCGAGCTCGCGGAGCCAAGAGGAGCTTTCAAGCGTCCAGTCGCGTTGCGCTACTCGGTACCTGCTTCCCGGTATCCTGCACGAATTGATGGGCGACTCGGATAAGCTTCCTGGCCGCTGCTTCCACGAGCACGCTTCACCAGGTGGACTAGAGATTGATCCTTCTCTGGCTTACTTGTGCTCACGTCTCAAGTGGCTCGACCTTGCCCGAGAAGCCGTCGCACTCCGATCCTGGTTGCGTTTTGGTGGCAAATCGCTTATCAGCTTTGTCGCGAGCGGCGCGTCGTATAGCAAAACGATTTTTTACATTTCTGGCTCGTAAAAGCCATGGGTGCTTGCAGTGTGCGTCCCTCCCGCGATGGCGTTCTGAGAATTCGACATTTAGTATTACGTTCATCAACAAGTAGCTTGTGGCGTACTAATAGGAGTCTGAAAGCCCGGCTTGGACACTCGAGGTCACCCATTCGCGATGTGCAAGGTCAAGAGATCGAGACCTCGACCAACTTGGGTGCGTCCCCAACGACTGGCTAAACCATTGATTGGAAGCCAGGTTGGCCACATGGCACCACGGCTGGTAGCGTGATCGACGAGCTGCACCCGCAGATCCAGTCGCCACCTGCTGCTGACGTCTTGCCCACGTAATATTCCGATTCGTTGCCTTTTAACGCGCGCGCCAAACAGGTAAAACCTATTAGTGGAGGTGTTGGAGTCGTGGCGTCGAAATGAAAATCACGAGCGATGCCACCACCAAGGCCACCAATGCCACCTGTCCTGTGATGATGTGCCGACCATCAACACTGAAAGCCTGGAACGCGCTGGAACACTGCCGATGCACTGGGACCGGCGGTATCACGAGCTTCTTCTATCGTGATCTCGCGGCTGGGCCGGCGTAGTCGAGCTCTACTTCTAGCATGTCCTACCTACCACCATGTAAAGACACCTTGTGGTCAGTGGCACACGACCTCGGACACCGCGTCTCGACAGTCCATCGACCGTGCCCACATACGAGGTTGGAAGATTGAAGCCGACGGTATGCTCCATGAGTAGGCCTCGATGTGCTGCCCCGTCACTTGACCGCAAATAGGTTCTTGAGATCGTCGCCACGGACGACCGCTACGGACGACAGGACGAATAGAAAGGCGATTGCATGCGCCGATCGTCACGCGTCAGTGTCAGCGTCTGTCCGTGTCTTGACAAAGGATCACGAATTGCTCGTAGCACCGAGCTGACTGTCCGCGAGCAAAACTCTGGGTTAGGTGCGTGCGAGCCTCTGTGTCGACCCAGGAGGCATCGTGTGGGCCAGCAACGTTTTCGTCGCACGACGTTTAACGACGTCGGACGTTTAACGCGGTGCTAACGCCACCAGCTGCCGGCTGATATTCTCAGAAGTTCAAGCAGCTGGGATCACAATAGACGTTCGTCCACGTTTCTAGAAGTCGAAAGAACCAGCTGGGATATATGCGCCTTTACGAGCCGATCCTGGACGCTCCGCGAAACACCGAGTACCTTTGGTCCAACGCGGTCCCACTGCATTGCATCGACGGTCCACGTCGCCCGCTTTGCTTCGCTCGCCACATCCGTGGCCGTCGTTGGAAGCTCTGGGCATGTATCGAACGACTGCATTACGCCATCACGCCATCACGCGCGGCTTTGGTGAGGGCCGTGTCATCCAGGTATCTCACGGTAACTTCAAGTAGGTACCTTGCAATAATTCTTTTTCATGCCAATTGAAATTGCCCTTTGGCATAGCAATCGTCTTGCAATATCAATAGGTCGCCACCCACGTGGGTCCGTAGAAAGGGCGACTTCACAACGAACAAAGCAGCGGCGAGCACCAGCCGCTAAGAGGGGTTGTAATCGCTTCAACAAATCCAACCAACCGTCCCCACCACCAAGACCTCGCATTTCATTTTGCATTTGGCCGCCAACCTCACAACTACTGCAGCACACGTACAATGGCCGTCTACCATGCCATGGAAACCGAGCGTCCGCCAAAGTCGACGACGCGCAAGATTCTGACGTCGTTGACCTTTTGGATCATCCTCGGCACGATCATCGGCGTCCTCATCGGCGAGTTTGCACCGGATTTTGGCAAGGACGCAGCGCCCATGGCCCAGATCTTCTTGCGTCCGATCCAGTTCAT